CTATCAATTATATCTATGTACTTATGTACAGTGGCGTAGCGAGCGTGTTTGGCGCCCGGGGACAAGATTCGCGCCCGGGGACAAGATCCATTTTTAGCGCCCCTTTTTCTTTTTTTCAACTCTCAAACCCATTATTTTCATCAATAAAATACTATCAATGCACATTTTGGCGCCCCTAACTAGCTGGCTCCCGGGGACATCTGTCCCCCCTGCCCCCACCATGCTACGCCTCTGCTTATATAGTAGTGCGTGGTGGGTGATTGGTGCTTGGGTGTAACCAAGGCTGCCACTGACAGTTACTAATAAAAAAACAAATGAAGAAATGCAGGTCTCAAGGACTATAACTTTATTAATGCTCTACAGGAAAAAGTCACTGTGACCGACAGGTCCAAAGGAAAAGTCCTAAGAAAATATAAAGACTATGGCAAAAGTCCCCTATGAAGAAAAAGGACAATATAGAGCGTTCCAATGGGCCGCACTGAACAATGGCACACTGCAGGGATGCTGTCCAATCTCGAATGACCCCCTACTTAGTGTGCACCCCTTTATAAAGCCGTGCGCGGACATATGAGAGAGCCCCTCCGTCACACCTAAACCAACTTGGTCTAAGTTTTGCCTTCTGGCCAATTTCCTGGGATAAAATGCCTAACTCTGGGGACTACACCCGAGTCATCATTAAAATCCCTGACCAAAGCCCTAAAGACTTGTATGTGCAGTTTTGTCTCAGCTCTCTAAGATGCTATTTTATACTTCTATGTGATCTGTGCAGTTTTGTCTCAGCTCTCTAAGATGCTATTTTATACTTCTATGTGATCTGTGCAGTTTTGTCTCAGCTCTCTAAGATGCTATTTTATATTTCTATGTGATCTGTGCAGTTTTGTCTCAGCTCTCTAAGATGCTATTTTATATTTCTATGTGATCTGTGCAGTTTTGTCTCAGCTCTCTAAGATGCTATTTTATATTTCTATGTGATCTGTGCAGTTTTGTCTCAGCTCTCTAAGATGCTATTTTATATTTCTATGTGATCTGTGCAGTTTTGTCTCAGCTCTCTAAGATGCTATTTTATATTTCTATGTGATCTGTGCAGTTTTGTCTCAGCTGTCTAAGATGCTATTTTATATTTCTATGTGATCTGTGCAGTTTTGTCTCAGCTCTCTAAGATGCTATTTTATATTTCTATGTGATCTGTGCAGTTTTGTCTCAGCTCTCTAAGATGCTATTTTATATTTCTATGTGATCTGTGCAGTGTTGTCTCAGCTCTCTAAGATACTATTTTATATTTCTATGTGATCTGTGCAGTTTTGTCTCAGCTCTCTAAGATACTATTTTATATTTCTATGAGTTAAATGGTTTTTGAGATATTTTAACTAGAAGGGGTGGGACCACCATATATATATATATACCTCTATAGATGGAGGTGAAAACTCCTTTAATAACTAAATGTTCAAATATCCTCCAACGATGGAAACTTGTAAATATCCTACGGAATAGTGAATAAAATCCCCTTTCCAACTAGATATAATTTAAAACTTAATACGCTAGGGTTCCCGAGAAATAAATTATTGAAATTTCTAACTAAAGCGCACATCGTGGTATTTTATTATTTCCTCCTTATGCGCGAGAGAAGCCGGCCGTATAGAGACCGTCCGGACTGGGGTGAAAGGGCTACCTGAGGTCAACATTCCGATCCAGTGCTAGGCGAGGTCACATCGCGCGACCGCGCGTTGGGCGCCAAACATGGTTTTCGTACTAATAGCGGTTGTCTCAAAATAACAGGGCTAATAGCGGGTTTCCAAATAACGGGGCATACACTGCCACATCCATAACGGGGCATACACTGCTACATCCATAACGGGGCATACATTGCCACACTTAGATTTTTTTTTTAAAATTAATTAACGACTGGAATGTGTTCATGATGTATGCATCCAATATTTTTCAAGTAACCTTAATTTTTTTAATAAGCATTTGTCTGTGTCCTTTTCAGCTTTTATCGATATATCATTTTCATTTTTATTTTCTGACGTCAATTGATGAATCAGGAGGAATAGTTTTGGAACTACATAATTGAAACTTTGCATGCTTATTTATATTGACATTCTCTACTTAATGATGGATGGTTTTTAAACAAATATCTCAAAGGAAAATTTTTCAGAATTTTTTTATTTATGTATTTTTTTTATTAGGTTCGTATGTTAATTTTTTTTCTATCTTTTCTGTCTTAGTTTTCTAATTGTTTTTTAATTCATGAATGGTATATGTACATGGTGTACTATGCATCCTATATCGTTCATGCAGCCCTCTAAATAAAAAAAACACAATTTTATACTTTTTTTTCATTTTTCTCAATTTTGCATTTTCCGAATTTTTTAGGAACGCCAAATGAATAGGGAGGAAAGTATTCTAGCTACAGCCTTCAAACATTGCATGCTTCTTTTCATTGACATTTTTTACGAAATTCAAGAGGCTTTTATATATATATATATCCAACTAGAAAGTTTTATAACATTTTTACATTTGCTACCCCTGAAGAGTTCTCGAATATTTATGTGACCACCACATACATGCCATTTGTAACATTTCCAATAACTGCTGTTTAATAAGCTTCTTTATAAACTTTTTGTCAATGTTATTCTTAATGTGTTTGCCAAGTTTCATTTACAATACAGTACAATAAGTTACAATACAATGCAATACAAATTTGTCTTTATTCACTTTGCGTAAAAGTCAAAATTGGTATAATTTTTTTATTTTTTTGCAATAAAAGTCACAACAAATAAAAAAAAAAAAAAACTTTAGTGGATTTTTGTCTTTCTGTTTGTGTATGGTTTGTATGTACTCTATTTTTTTCAATGGCTCTATTTATTTAGGTTATCAGTATTTTATTTTCAATGTGGCATGACTTAGTTGCCTTGAAACCAAACTCCCTTCACAGATCACATATATTTGCTCCCACTCAATCATTACATCTGTACTTAAATGAAGAAATGATACAAACAATATTTAACTGTACAAGTACCAACAAGGAAGGTGAGAAAGTAAAAGGAGACAAATGGCAAAGGAATGATGTGACCTAATTGAATGAGTTTATTGGCTGCCCACTCCTTACTGGCCCCTAATTTATTTTATTGATTACTTGAGTACACAACTTAAATAACTAACAACCAAACAAAAATGGTCTCAAGTCAGTTAAGTTTTTTTTTTTCTATTAAATTTTAAATTATGTACCAGTGTGTTAGACCCAGTAGACAGATATGGTTAAAGAAAAGACGAGTCCTCCAAAAATAAGTCTCTTTCTCATGCTTTATACAATGGCATCCTTTAACTTTAAGATGTTCATTGCAACTACCTTGTGAATTAGGTCAAGTCAAATGAGAAAAGTTGTTGAAAGGAGATTCGAGATATCAGGAAAAACTGTCAGTGTCCTCATGTCTGACTCCCACTGCCAAGGAAAAAGATTAAAATTGGTTGTTTTGTTCTGACCAAGCCAAGTTCTCTAGAGGAATAGTTGAAATTAATTCATTATGAATGAAATTTTCATTATTTAGAATACCTAATTAATTTATAAAGTACTGTGTGGTTAAATCTTTTAACTTAAACAATACACATAAATAATCTTAAATAAAGGATTTAATTTTAATGATTAAATTAATAATATTACATTTCTAAAATTCAAATGAAAACAATAAATGTATCTAAATCATCTTCATTACTAGATTTTAAAAAAAAAATGATCTACGAAAATGGCTTACTAAAAAAGAAAATAAGAAAGCAAAAAAATCTACCAGTCCTAAGAGAAATGAACAAACCAAAAATATAAAAACAACTAAAAAGAAAAAACTATGAATTTATGAAATAACAAGGTGAAAAAACAATTTTTAAAAAAATTTCTCATACTATTGTTATCACACCCGGCTCCGAAGCCATTTAATCTGTATGGAGCCACTCTGGGTGCGAATAGTCATTGCAGTCGTATTAGCCTTTTTAAATACAAAAAAGGGGCCACCAAAGTAGGTGGAATTGGATGCCTCAAAAGCAGGGTGCCACCAGAATAGGACGTTACCTGAGCAGCATGCCTCTTGAGCAGAGTGCCACCAAGATATGATGTCTCTAGAGCAGGACGCCACCAGGATAGGATGCCAGTTGAGCAGGATGCCTCTAGAGCAGGCCTGCACAACATATGCCGCATGCGGCTCGCCAGCACTCACTTTGCGGCCCGCGAAGTAACGAAATATTCTTATTATTTTATTAATAGCTTCCCACCCCCTGTCCTATTTTTCCCTGAGGCAGGCAAAGATTTGTTCCACGCAAAAAACTACAGTTTGATAATAATGCCACCCTCAATAAAAAGAAATGACCCCCAGTCTGTGTCCTCACATTTCTACGCCACAGCCACAGCTACAGCTGTAGACTAAAGTTAAATGTTAAAATTAATATTAAATTGAAATTTTGCAATTTTTGGTGACATCACTTCAAAAATAGTCGAGCAATTGAAAAATATAAATAATATAGATAATAGAATCTCGATAAGCTAAAATAGATAGTGAATTCTAAATAATTGGCCTACTGGATGCCGTTGGAATATAAATAGCCTAAATATAATGCAATAGAGTCTAGAGGTTGGCTTACTGAACATTGTTATAAACCAGACAAAGACGAACAATCGTTTTGAACTTCATTTTTTTTAAAAATTATTATTTTATTATTATTTTTAAAAAAATTAAATTTATCAATGCCACACCCCTCACTATAATTAACAAAACTATTTAATAGTTTCGGTTATGTATTTTTTAAAGGGATTTCATATTTTGCATATTTAAAAAATATTGCTCAATACATTAGATGAAAAGAAAGAAAACAAAAGATTAAATGTAACTATTAAATTGAACAATTTCAATACTAATATTATCATTAGATAGAACAAATAAACCGTGTAAAAACACTAATAGTTTAATCAAAACATGTGTCTGTAATGATACGAGCCACTAATCTATAGATTCGCAACATTAGTTGCCTGAACTATATTTGAATATTTGTTTAGATTTAAAGTCTGAAGTCTGAAGTTAGAATGATGGAACTTCAGTAAGAATCAAGAATGATGGAACTTCACTTACTTAACTATATAACTATAACATAACGTCTTAGGCTGGACCTGATTTTAGTGAACTTTGAGGAGAGTCGTCTATTCGACTGAAGACATCGTTCTTAACTTTCACTTCAGTCTGTTTATGAAGATTTGATAATTAATCTAAGGTGACCATTCCTCTCATTCGTGCTGTTTTTACCAGGTTAGGCCAGTAGCCTACACCACAGAGTTACTTACACTCACAGTCTAGTCTACAGTGTAAGTTTAAATTTAAGTTCAACAATTTTATTAAATTAAAAATATATTAATTGTTTACTTTATTTAAATTTATTAAAACATTGGGTACATCTGATTTCTGTCTGATATATTTGACATTGTGGGCAATCCTCCGAAGTCGAAGTCCGGTCCCAAATTATTTCCAATGATTAATCCTTACTTAAAAGTCTTGGGCATCATTCTGTTTTGAAACTCATGTTTGCGTTAGTGGACGATGTTAGATGGAGGTTGTTGGCCGTCCAGATGCGCATTATCACTAATCATGTGTTACCAGGAACAACTACCGTCACGGACGCTTGGCGAGGATATCAAAATGTCGGTCAGCTCAACAACGGGATTTATGCTCACGCTGTCATTGTGCACGAGCGTGAATTTGTTGATCCAGTAGACCAGGAGATTCACACTATTGAAGGACTTTGGATGCAAGCAAAACGTAAACTCCGCTATCAGAGTGGTAGGCCCGCTAGTCGCGATCGGTTTGCCAGCTACTTGGGGGCCTTTCAGTGGCGCATCAGTCACCAGCAGAACGTTTTCGGCTGGTATTAGCAAATGCTATGTGCCAATGACAACATTTAGTATTTACTGACTGGTTTGTAAAGTTACAGTTATTTACAAAAGCTATGACTGACATATCTGCTGTTTTCTAACAATACACACTGTGCATTGCAGTTTTTTTCATACAAAATAATTTGGGACCGGACTTCGGAGGATTGCCGATATTGTGTGAATTAATGACACAACTAAAACTACCCAAAAAATATTATATAATTAACCAAATGAGCATTACGATAATTAATAATACCTTTTTAAAAACTCCTATTTTTACAGAACACTTTGCGCTCCATGTTTATTTCTGAAAAACCATGGTGAAGAATGATTCAAAATTTCATGGTCCTGGTTTTTAATTTTAAATGTTCTTGTTTGGATTTGAAAAAAAAAATGGTCACCTTATATTAATCATTAATGTCTAATGTTGACATCTAATAAGACTAAGAGTCAAGAGTAAGAGGCTATACTAATCAATAACTGACGTCATATGTTGGGGGGAAGGGGGGGGGCATATTCTTGTAATGATATGTGACAAGGGGTGGGGGAGTTAAGCAGTGTTTCATCACATTAAAAGTGGAAGATTCTTGATAAGATTTGCACTTAATTACACACAGAGATTTTAACATTATTCTTTTATACAACAATTATAATGATTTTATTTTAAATTACGATCACTGAGAGAATCATTTAAGGTAAGCAAGGTCTGAGAAATGGCATCTGATCAAGTCACAGGATGCCATGGAGGAGGAAAATTGGAGTGTAGCGACTTAGCCAGTCATGAGAAATTATGTCGAAAGATGGTGACGGAATTTATAGAATTAGGGCTACCACATGAAGTGAGATGGAACAACAACAAAAAGTGATTGACGTGGGGGGGGGGGGTGTTAAGAGAGGTTTGGATGTTAAAAATGATCTAGGACAGGGATTCTTAAACTTTTTGCAGTGCTGCATCTCCTCCAAATTTCAAACAATTTCCCCAATCCCTCTACCCCCAAATAAATTGTAATAAAATTTTAAAAATGAAAATAATTTAGTGATTGCAGTACTAGAAGCAAGAAAAAAAACTACCAACACAAGTAATGCACACAAAAAAATTCACCAGGATCAAAATGCATGACAACTTATTTTATTTTTAAAGGCAGGAGGAAAGGAGCAACTAGCAATGGCAGCAAATGAAATATATTTTCTGGGTCTACCACACCACATTTCACCCTTGGTTAAGAACCACTGTTCTAGGGAAAAGTTTCTGACACAGATGTAGTAATTTGATAGTAATTGGGAGAGGGGGTGTTGTAAAGGACCGTAGTGGACAGAGATGTTTTTTTTAAAGGGGGTGGGGGGCGTTTATGGATGACACCTTAGATAAGAGGCTAAGCCTCAGCATGATGATCCAGTTTGATCTCACACCTATTTCTGATTGAGTCTAATAATTCATATTCAATTCAGGGTTTTTGGCAATGTAATGACGAGCCTCAGCGAATATTCATGATCTTCTTATCACTCACTGGCTCTCAGTCAGTGGCCCAGGGACAGGAATCAGAAAATATCATTTTCATTCAAAATTGTAATTTTTGCATTTTCAAATTTTTGAAATTATTGTATTTAATGTCAGCTTTGACTTTGAGCTTATAAAGAAAATCTCATATAAACTAATTGAGTGAAAACAAAAACAAATGTCTGAAAATATATAATACATTGACTACTTCTTCTGTATATGATCTTGATCAGCAGGTGCTAATAGTCGACAGTCAAGTTTGAGGACAATAAAATATCTTTTGTTCCAGCTTTTAACCAACTGTGTTCTCTTTTTAAAAAAATGACAGCAATAAAATTTTGACCCATCAAATCTCATTAAAGCATCAAAATCTGTCAAACTTAATGTGCATTTTTTAAAATGAATATTCTTTGACCCTGATATAGGTTTTTTTTTTTATTATCACTTATTTTTTGTTAAATTTTTAAAATCTAAATCACAAAACAGGGATATTTGTTAATAAGAAAAGATTCTTTGCATGTAGTTAAATAATAATTAATCATTTTTCCCCTTGCATTTTCAGGCTTTGAATAATGGAAAATAGAGGAGACTAGAGGGACTCAAACCAAATTTTCATAATGATTAATATGGACAATGTCATGGACATGGTTTCTCCACCGGTGGAAACAAATAATAATAATGCCAAGCATTCTCTCAAATTGCCCATTTTTGGCAGAGTGCAATTTGTAAGAGACAGAGAGGGTCAGATGTGTGCCGCTATTGTACTTGCCTACTGGACATATGGTACATTTATTCCATTATTTATCATTCTCATCCCTCGTTATGAAGACGGTCTCATCTCACTGCCAGTTTTTTTGGGTAGGTTTTGCATTTTATAACATACAATTTGGAAAGCAATAATTTTTAATTTATTATAATATTATTGAAAAACACTTTGTATGGTGATCAGAAATGTTTCATTAGAAAGCCATGGTGTTTGATGATTAAAAAGCATTTAAGGAAACAACAAGAAAAGCCGATGGAATAGCTCAAAACCATGGCAGAAAATCTTGTTAAAACCTCAAGTGTTACCAGCACTGGGATAAAGGATAGTTTAATTATTTAAAAAATAAGATACTATAATTTTTTTTTGTATCATGTACAGTTTAGGAAAAAGTTAATATGAATCCTTTAATTTGAAAATGATTACAAATAATTTTTAAAATCTGACGTCACCCCCTCCGCCAGGTTTCCTCACAGTATCAGTCCTTTGTCTACTTTCATTTTTCCGGTCATCATTAACAAATCCTGGAAGGATCCCAGAGTTTTCAGCAGCAGAAGATAAAGGTAAACAAAATTTGCACAAATGACAGTGAAGAAGGTTATCATCACTTCAAATGTCTTAAGTTAGCAGAATTGCTAATGAGCTAATTAAGCAAAGTACAAAAGGTATCCAAAGAAATAAATTCTAATCATTTAATTTTTTTAATAAAAGATTCTAATTGGAGCAAGTGTCGTGTGTGTAATCAAATGCGCCCCCCTAGAGCGCATCACTGTCGAAGGTGCGGTCAGTGTGTTATGAAAATGGATCATCACTGTCCTTGGTAAGAGAAATTATTTGGCAATATCTGTGAATGTCTTTAAGCATTAATAAATTCAATTGTGATAATTTATTTTAGAAATGTGTATCTGATTAAGAAAATATATATTAGCCCATATTTAAAGATCGGTGAACAACATAAATTAAAATATTTATTTTAAAATATACACGATTCAAAGAATTAACTTGCAAGAAGAGATGTTTACATCAAGCAGCTGGTAAAATGAGGAGTGACCACATTCAGAACCAAGAAATAAGACAAATGGTTGGGCCACCTGGTCTTGCCTGTCATGGAACCTGCATTGCAAGCCTACAGTATCAGACACTAATGTGTTTAGGCCCAGAGGAAGACCAAGCTGATGGATTGACTGTTAATGACACCCTCAAAATCCACAACATGTATCTTGAGCAGGCCTTACACCTTGCAGCAGATTATCAACTTTACTTCTCAATGTTGCCTCACTGGTAGCAAAGGGTCAACTTTACCTCCCAGAAATGCCTCAGTGGTAAAAGCAGTCAAAAGAAGATGAAGGAAGGGCTAATAAAATAATGTTCCTTAATGTACAGATGGAAGAAATAATTAGTTTAAACTCCACTCATTAATAAATTTGTATAAATAATTTGTTTAACATCTGCTTGTTAATATCATTTTATAAATAATTGCTTACTGATATAATTTTATTGAAGAAATAACCCCAACAAGTACCAGTAATTCTGTCATTGCAATTACAGTAAACCTGGAAAGTTCAATGCTTAGGGTTAAAAACTAACACACTTTGTTGTGCGGTAAATTAATAATTACTTGCATGAAGAGTAGAACATAGGAGAAGGAGATGTGACTCTTAATCATCTTCATCATTTATTCTATGAAAGATGATCTACTCTATTACTCTGTTGATTTCATGGGTTATGAGTGGTATTTTAAAAATTGATCCACAAAAATTTTCTGATCACTTACACTGTCATCTTTGTTTTTAGGACGCTAAAGAGATTTTGAGGGGAAAAAAAACTACTGAGAAATTGTCAATAAAGATAAAAAGAAAAAATATTCTCATTTCATTTATAAAGATAATATCAAGCAAACCTACTTTAGAGAAAAGCAAGTTAACATTTTGTAAGTGTTAAATGTTTACTAATCTGATATAAAATGAAAATGAACTTAATCTTTAATCTGATATTTCAAGAAAATGAAATTGATCTTTAATCTGATATATCAAGAAAATTAACTTGATCTTCCCCAGGATAAACAACTGTGTAGGTGAAAACAACCATTTTGCTTTCATGCAACTCTTGTTTTATGCGTTTCTGCTCGGCCTGTACACATTTGTTCTCGTTATGCTACATTTTTGGGTATTTCCAAAATGTGTTGCCTGCAACAGGGTGAGTGTTAAGTAGAGTGTCCATTACCAGAAAAATTGAAATGTCGTTTGCAATATCCCTGTTCTAATCTCTCATAAAATACATTAAGTTTGTCATAAGCTGCATATCTGCATTTTAGAAATGTTAACATTTTTTTTGTCATTTATAAAAGTCATTAGCAATATCCCTGTCTATTCTGTCATAAAATACATTCAGTTTTTCATAAGCTAATGCATACCTGAATTTTCGATATGTTACCTTTTTTTGCCATTTATAAATAATATAAAGACTTTGACTAGACTTCTCAGTCATATTGCCCAGCTGTAATTCTGTATCAATGGTTGCTGTCGAAGCGTCTAGTTATTATTTGAAATTTGAGCCACTAAAAAATGTACAATCTCTTTGATATTTTTATTTAGGAGGCCTTTTATATAAAACACAGTATCTGGTTCATGTACCTGGCATTTCTGCTGTCTGTCAACATGATGGGGATGATGGGTGTTCAGTTCTGCCAACAGCACATAAATCTCATCAGTGTAAGTGTTCATATCAATCTCATGTGTGTAAGTAATCATGTCAATCTCATTCGTGTAGGTAATCATATCAATCTAATTTGAGTATGTTATCATGTTAATCTCATGCGTGTCAGTTATCATGTCAATCTCATGCCTGTCAGTAATCATGTCAATCTCATGTTTGTAAGTAATCATGTCAATCTCATGCGTGTCAGTTATCATGTCAATCTCATGCGTGTCAGTTATCATGTTAATCTCATGCGTGTCAGTTATTATGTCAATCTCACACATTTAATAGTAAAAGTATTCATCTAAAAGTTTTTTTATATTCAAATGCTTATAAAAAATAATAATTCTCTTGGTATGTATGTATGGCTGTAACAGTTTTTCAATGGGCGCACAAAATTGAATTCCTAAAATCAGGCCTGTTCTTAGGTATACGCTGACTATGCATCTGCGTAGGGCCCCGAACGTGAGGCGCCCTCGATCCCTCATTTTTTAACTGGCACTGCAGCCGTCTGTGTCACTCAGGTTACCTTCCTCATCCTGAAATGTATCATTCTGAGTTGAATTAGGAGGCAGGGGAAGGGAAGCAGCAGGGGGAAGCTTTGGGGGTGGCAGACAGGAAATCGGGGGCTTGGCCGTGGGAATGGGAAAGAGGAAACATTGATGAAGGCAGAATGGAGGTGCCGCAGTGGTGGGTGGTGTTTTCTCCTCAGCTCGAGGGAGCTAGGGAGCCCCCCCCCCGGACCCCCCCCCCCCCTTCCGGCCCCCAATCTACACTCCATGCTTAGGGCCCCCAAACTCCTAAGAACGGCTCTACTAAAATATTTAGCACTATTTTGGATGGGTGCGCAGAATAAAATTGTCATAAGTTAGCACTAATTGGTATTCTTATAAAGTGCATTACTTGAGTGCATGTTTTGTCAAGTAACTTAGTATTTCTAGTTTTATAATTGTGAACTGTAGCAGTCATGGTTTTATACAATTTGTTTTTTAAGATGGTTAAAATAACTATAAAGTATATAAGTATTTATCTATTGGATAGATTAAAAGACTTCTAGAGGACAGTAATGCCATAGTTGATGTCACTCCACAATCTACAATAATTGTACCATCTGAAAGCCCCAGAGCATGATGTTTGTACCTTTATGAGTTTGTATCCCATTTTCTCTTCCTCTCCTCTCAGAATAAAACCACACTGGAGAAAATGATCAATCATGGAGGTCCAAAAAAGTAAGTTTGCCCAAGAATCTGAAACGCCCTTCTTAACGCTCTCAGAAACAGCCAGACACTGCAGTCTGAAAAACTGAGTTGAAAACACATCTTTTTCGCACTCACCTGCTAGGGTGATGTAGTCCACCTCCTTGTTTCCAGCTTGCTCATATATACTCGTTGTGTATTGATTTGTATTGTATGTAGATTTTGTATTGTTGTGTTTTGAATTTTATTGTGGAAAAAATATATTGTTATGTATGTTAACTTTGTACCGCGCTTCGAGCCTTAAATAGGGATGGTGAGTGTTTTTCAAATGTACTTTATTATGATAATGTTACGTCTAGTTCTAGTCACCCCGTTTTATTTTTAAAAGAGAAAAAAAAAGGGGTGGGGGGAGAGAAAGACAGATTGAAGTTACCAAAACATCTGCAATTAATAATTAGTGTTCTATGAAATAATCCCTATTAATAATTGGAGGCATAAAAGATTTTTTGACATGAAAGAAACATGCACACTTGCATCAAGCTTGATTACGTTAACAATAGTAGCTTATTTTATTGACATAAAATATTTCAAATATAGATATTTATTAAGCTGTAATTTACGAGAGCAAAATTTATAGTTTTTTTAAATTGTAAAATTAATGATTACCTTTACCTGGATTTAAAGCTGATCCCAAATGATGATTATAGTATGTGATGATAATATCATATTATTAATTATTATTATAGTGATGATAACCTCATGTTATTATAGTGATGATAACATCATGTTATTATAGTGATGATAACCTCATGTTATAATAGTGATGATAACATCAAGATATTATAGATACAGCGATGGTAACGTTATTATAGTGATGATAATATCATGCTATTCTTTCCTTTTGACAGCATACAAGGGAAATGTTACAACTCTTACAGACAAATATGTGGCCAGGGACACCCAATCTTCTGGTTATGCCCCATTGGAAGGAGAAGGCCACTAACTGCACAGTTTCAGTATCCAGTATGAGAGGAACTTTTCACATACAAACTTTATTTCAATGTCAAATTACTGCTTTATTTTATCTAGATAAAATGGTTATTGCTTGCAAGTATGGGGCAACAATCGGTAAAACTGTACAAAATTATATTTTTAGTGGCTTTATTTTTTTTATAAATTTGTATTGTTTTTATTTATACCTATTTATTATATAAATATGTATTTAAATATACATTTTAATGATTTATTAGACCGTAAAAGATCCACTATATTTTCTCAATGTTGTTTTCATACATAGTTTATGCTAAATAATAGAGCTGTTAATAAAAAAGTTTTATTTTCTAATCACGCTTAGTGGCAGTGACAGCTCAAATTTAGTGGCAGTAAAAAATAAATGTTTTAAATTTTATTTTGAGATGATTTACAATTTTGGTTTGCTTATATTCTTATTTGAAAAATGTGTGGTCTATTTCTTCCATTTTGATACAATTTATTGTTGAAACTTTATTTATTAAATGAAACAGTTTATTGTTGAAACTTTTAAATTAAATTTTATTGCTAAACATTATTTTTGAAACTTAATTAAATTAATCAAATTATTTTTGCAACTTCATTTATTAAATGACACAACTTATTGTTGAAACATTTTTTATTAAATGAAACGATTTTGTAGATTTTAACAAATCTTTGCGTAGTTTCTTAAGTTTTAGGAGGGATGTAGTTTGTAGTTTTACAGCATATCATGGTTGGTGGGACCTGCTATCGGTGAGCTACTCTGCTAATTCTTGTACAGAAGCTTCCTCTACTTCAACAGAAACTTCTTTTACTGGAATACTAGGATAAGTCAAATTTGCAGGGTAATTGAAATCCTTTGATGTCAATGAAATAATTGCAGCTTGTTATTGAATCATAAGGACATGGTTTTTGTTACCATTTTATTTGTGATATATTTGAATGTACTTGAATAATTAAGTGACTAATTTTACATACAATCTTATGTTATTTATCATTTTTTACAAGTTCAGTAGTGAATGTTAGGTATCAATAGTGTGTTTTTCTCTTTTTTTTTTTTGGGCGAGGGGGCTCAAGACTATTAAAAAAAGAATGAGAAAAAAGCAAAACAATATTATTGAATGATAATGATAAGCAAGCTTGGGCGTACCAAATAATTTCATTTTTGATTCTATATTCAAGTTTGAGAGGCCGCACGCATTAATAAAGATTCCATATTTATTTTACTTTTGGGCTTTAACGAGTGTTTTTTAATTTTTAAAACAAAAATTGGGTATTTGAGTTTTAACGAGTCTCCTTCCTAATTTATAATTATAATTTTTGAAATCTGTGCTTCTTGAAATTAAACAATTTCTTTTACACTGTAAAAGTCAATGTTGTCACTGGTAGCTATTGCATTTTATTATGTGATTGTTGTATTTGTATGTTCATTTGACATCTTATCTAATTATATGTTTATGTTACATCTTATCTTATTATATGTTCATATCACATCTCATCTGATTGTAAGTTCATATTACATCTTATCTAATTGTATGTTCATGTTACATCTTATCTTATTATATGTTTATATCACATCTCATCTTATTGTATGTTTATGTTACATCTCATCTGATTGTATGTTCATATAACATCTTATCTGATTGTATGTTCATAAAATTTAAATAATGAGTTTCATTTGTTTGTCATAACTGGCATAATCCCATTTCATTATTTCCTGACTCAACGCATTCAGTGGAAATAAACTTGAAATAAATGGGTGAGTCAAAGCTCTTTCAATGGGTAGGTGAGTCAAAGCTCTTTCAATGGGTAGGTGAGTCAAAGCTCTTTGCCCTCTTACATCAAATCAATGCTTTGCGATGGGTCAGTCACATAATATTTGGTATACCTAAGTTAAAAGAGATTTATGGGCATTTCAGGTAAAAATGGACATAACATAAAGATAATCTGGTATCATAATTTCCATGGCCAGTGGTCGTCCTCGAAACAGCCAATTTTTAAAAAAAAAACTTGCTGGTGTCCCTGTTCTTTAATAAGATGGTGTTATTGGGATAAAAAAAGTTGAAAAGCATTATTGTCAAGTATTGGCAAATGTCTCAATGTCAGTGGTTAATTTTAAATTCATCTTAATGCTGTAAATGAAATGAAATAAATAATAATTTCTATATGAAAAAGCAGGTTGCTGCTTTGTGTTCATAAGAAAAAATTTAAAATGATCTACACAAAATGACATTGCTTATCCATGTAAAGTATAATAAGTGAAGGACTGCGATCAAGCTGTGTTAAGGATATAGTTGAACAAGGAATGTGGAAGCTTGAATTAAGAAACAGGACAATAAGACAAGAACGTTTCGGCTAAGAGCTTTAATCAGCAGACAGGACAGATAAAAATAGGACAAAAAAATATAAACAAGCTAAAAACTTAAATGATCGCCATTTGTTCTTTGCCAGAAATTGGAATTTTCATGTACAATTTTAAGCCCAGATATAAACTACTAAGTGGCTTGAACTAGTATTACTGAAAAGCAACTCATTTGTGAGCTAAGCATTGGTCAGCCACTAGCTGGTGAGCAAATCATTGTTAAGCAACTTTATGGTCATTGGTCTCCCACTCATTGGTGAGCAATTCATTCATTCCAGAAGATGAGGCACTCGTCCAGGCACTCCAGAAGATGAGGCCCTCGTCCAGGCACTCCAGAAGATGAGGCCCTCATCCAGACACTCTAGATGATGAGGCACTCTTCCAAGCACCCCTGCAAACAAGAGACTTGTCCTGGCGCCCCAGCATATATAACGATTTTGACAGACTTAACCACGCTGGTTGGGAATCTGAGTATGTCTGAGCACCAGTTTCCCAAGAGAAAATTTGATGGAAGACTTGAGCATGATGAACTGTTTGCTTGTGTTCAGAAGAAACCTTTCAAAGACACCCTGAAACTTTTCTGCACAAACTTGGACACAGGGGCACAAGCCTGGACACAGGTGCACAAACCTGGACACAGGGGCACAAACCTGGACACAGGGGTACAAGCCTGAACACAGGGGAACAAACCTAGACACGGGAACAAACCTGGACCCAGGGGAACAAACAGCAACAGATCAAGCTTCTTAGATAATACTCATTAAAAAGACAATGACCAAAAAATGTATCTTTAGCTTGTTCCTCTACTCAGAACCGGCCATTGAAGGTTGTTCCATGTCTGGTTCCATGCCTGGCTCCATTTCTGCTGGTTCCATGTCTGGTTCCAAGCCTGGCTCCAAAGTCTTCCTTTGCATCTGGTTCCAGGTGTTTGACGATAAATGCCCTTATAACTGATTAGAACTGATACCCAGTACTTACAGCTTCTTTTTCTGTAATTGTAAACATTTTCTTACAACCCAATCAAAACGGCTATGACGAATTGAACGCATCTGTTCAAATATTTAATTCACTAATCAATCAGATTTAAAAAAAAAAAAAAAAATCCCTTATTGTTTTTAAAAAACTAAAAACATTAAAATTTATTTTTATTTGAAATTGAAAAAAAATTACTTAAGATGTTCCTTTTTAAAGTTTAGGAATATTTTTTTTAGTAAGAAAATAAAATAAAACAATTTTCTTATCACTAATCAAAATTGTCCAAACCAGTTGGATGCAAATGTCAACAAAAAACGAATGCCAACACTCAATTCACAAATCAGTGAGATTTCTTTTTAAATAAAAAAACTACTTGAGACAACAAAACAAAAGCATTACGTTAGAGAAAGACACCAAAAGCTTTAAGGATATTTGAAGTAAATTAAAGTCAACAAATGTCATTGTTTGGTACCTAGAAAAAGAACAACAGAAAACACTGTTTAGTTTGAAACAAATTTAATCGTGATGGAGCTAAGCTTTGGACCTGCAACACTTAATAAAAAAGTGCAACAAATATCCAAATGTATGTACCGTACCTGCTATTCAAAAGGTGCAAATGTTACTCTTTTTCTCCTCATTTAGTAAAAGGGTGGATAGAATGGGTTATCATGGTTAATTAATACTAACAGTTGGCATGGCTGTCAACTTTGGAGAAGGTGTATTTTGAGATGGTGTGGTTGTGTTGGACAACATCATCTTTGGAGAAGGTGTATTTTGAGACGGTATGCTTGTGTTCGAAAACATCATCTTTGGAGAGGTGCTGGCCGAAACTGAAAGAATCAAATAGGTTTTGAAAACTGAAACAAAAACATTCTCAAGAAAATTTTTCAAGCTCAAAGACTCGTCACAATAATTTTCTCATTTACTAATTGATTAAAGATCCTGAACCATGTTTGCAGAGAAAAGAATTTTTTGTCCAATAAACTTCAGTTAAATCTGGAAAGAACAAGGACAAAATTCATTCTGAGGATAGCTAACTGTTAAATCTGGCAAGAACAAAGATAAAAATTCATTCTGAGGATAGCTAACTGTTAAATGTGGCAAGAACAAAGACAAAATTCATTCTGAGGATAGCTAACTGTTTAATGTGGCAAGAACAAAGACAAAATTCATTCTGAGGATAGCTAACTGTTAAATCTGGCAAGAACAAAGACAAACATCATTCTGAGGATAGCTAACTGTTAAATCTGGCAAGAGCAAAGATGGAAATCATTCCGAGGATAGAGAATATATTTTAGGTTAATTAAAAGACTTGTTATAAGCTGGGCTACAATCCTTTGTCGCAACCTGTGTAGCACTGTGTTTGGTGAAATCTGACATGAATTGAAGGTTGAGGTACCATCCAAGGTGGCTCTGTGTCCATTAAATGTCCACTGAGGTACCATCCAAGGTGGCAATGAGCTAGGTGTCCACTGAGGTACCATCCAAGGTGGCACTGTGTCCATTAGGTTCCACTGAGGTACCATCCAAGGTGGCACTGTGTCCATTAGGTTCCACTGAGGTACCATCCAAGGTGGCACTGTGTCCATTAGGTGTCGACTGAGGTACCATCCAAGGTGGCACTGAGTTAGGTGAGATTATAAAATATCCTATGACATTTAACCATGTCCATGTTGTATCTATTAGGCGAACCACTGCAAAACTGACACATGGATTGGGTTTCCTTTATGTGACTTATTTCTGCCTTTCCTCTGCAAACTTTGGATTTATTTCTCACCAATAATATTTTAAATTTAGTTTATATTGGCTCAAAGTGACAAGTAAATGATAGGCACACGAAAGAACTGTTGAAAATCCTATCAGCAGACAAAACCTTAAGAGAGACACCAAAAAGTCTAAAGTTATGCTAATCACTAGAAGAATGAGGCATCAAAGAATAAACAACTCCTCTTCCCCAATACACATTCAATGATTCCATAACAGCAGGTTATACAAATTTCTGGGTTTAAAAAAATGTATAAGAATTTGTCTTGGCATTGTCATCTAATTAACCTCAAGAGACATTCCACTACATCAGTATTTCAGCTTGCCAGATATAGCAAATTATTTGATCCCAGTGTGAGATTAATATTTTAGCACGCCTTTACACAACTTCATTTTAATTATGCATCTAACAAATTGGGATGGAGGTGCTTCTTCTTTACAACGCCAAAAGGAGGTTTTTAAACTTGTAGATAACCAGGATCTCACAAGATTTTCACTTAATCTCTAACACATCATCATTTTTTAAAAATATTTAATAACTTAATGGATCTGTTAAACATTTTAAATATTAACTCTCTGTATCACAAAGGAAACAACTTTCAAACACCTACCATAAACACTATCAAATTTGGTAACTTTAACAAACTAACAGCTTCACTAATTCCATGGCTACACTTTCCAATGACCTACCACTTTATTTGACTTTTTCCATGACTACACTTTCCCATGACCTACCACTTTATTTGACTTTTTCCATGGCTACACTTTCCCATGACCTACCACTTTATTTGACTTTTTCCATGGCTAAACTTTCCCATGACCTACCGCTTTATTTGACTTTTTCCATGACTACACTTTCCCATGACCTACCACTTTATTTGACTTTTTCCATGGCTACACTTTCCCATGACCTACCACTTTATTTGACTTATTCCATGGCTACACTTTCCAATGACCTAAAACTCTATGTTAAATACTTATAATCACTCAATATTTTTCATCATCACTAGAAATTCATATTACTAGCGGGATATTACACATTACCAGTGGGATATTACACATTACCAGTGGGGTATTACAAAATACCAGTGGGATATTAATAATGATTTTTTTATTTTTTTTGTGAATGATTATAGCTAAGAATAGCACACACACACTATTATACTAATGCTAATTAAATTGCTCATTTAACAATGTACCTAGTCCTTGTTTTATTATCTTGTCACCGTGTAGCTGTGATTCGAGGTCTTTAAGTATTCGAAGCACAATTTCTTCTTGAAATGGTAGAGCTGCTACCTGTACTCCCACTGGTAGACCAATGGTGTCATTTGGCTGAGGAGAGCAGTTCTGGCATAGGTCAGCATAACACAAGTACTCATTGGTACTACACAACATAAGTACTCATAGGACCTATAGTACACAAGTGCTCATGGGTACTACAGAATAAAAGTATTCATTGGTACTACAGAACACAAGCACTCATGTGCTACAGTACACAAGTACTCATAATTTTTCCAGAAAACAAGTACTCATAGGAAATAGTACACAAGTACTCATAGGTACTACAGTATACAAATATAAGTACTTCAGAAAACAAGTACTCATAGATACTACAAAACACAAGTACTCATAGGTACTACAGTATACAAGTACTCATAGGTACTACAGAACACAAGTACTCATAGGTAATACAGTACACAAGTACTTGTAGGTACTACAGAACACAAATACTCATAGGTACTATATGAAACAAGTGCTCATAGGTACTACAGTATACAAGTACTCATTGGTACTACAGAACACAAGTACTAATAGATACTATATTACACAAGTACTCATATGTACTACAGTACACAAGTACTCATAGGTACTCCAGAAAACAAGTACTCATGGGTACTACAGAATATAAGTACTCATGGGTATTACAGAACACAAGTGCTCATAAGTACTACAGAATACAAGTATGTATAGGTACTACAGAACAAAAGTACTCATAAGTAATAAGTACTGGATTATAATAAAACTCAAACTGCAACATGCTTATCAACTCATAAATTGTTGTTGAACATTTTTTTTAAAAAAGGTTGAAACTTATCAAAATATACAACTAGCTTATTACCTCTGCAGCCAGCTGGTCCTGTCAGAGGAAATATCTTAGAGTCAATCTTTACATTGTATGTAACAATGATAACAAGAATATACAATCTATATTAACATTTAAAGTTATTATTGATATAATTATTAAAAGAATATACAATCTATATTGACATTTAAAGATATTATTGTTATAATTATTAAAATAATATACAATCAATATTGACATTTAAATATTTTTTTGATATAATGATTAAAAGAATATGCATATTGACATTTTAAGATATTTTTGATATAATGGTTAAAATAATATACAATCTATATTTACAATTTATGATGTAATTATTAAAATAAGACAGAACCTATATTTTATTTTGTGACTTAAAGATTAAAATGAAAATTATATTTCATATTATGACTTAATGGATTAACCTATTTAAAAAAATTGAAGTAAGATGCAGGTAGGTGTCAGGTACCTGTTGATCTGAGGTGAAGGTTGATCATGTGAGGTGCTGTTTGATGTGAGGTATGTGTCGGTGTAATATGAAGGATGATGTGAGATCATAGAGGAAGTAGTTGTGAATGAGAACATAGTCCGTACAGTCATGAGAACACTTTACATTGAATCTGTCATGAAATAAAATGGGTAATATGAGACTTGATGCTTTTGTAAGAGAAGACATTACTGTTACAAGAATTCATTTTCTAGTAATTTAGAATTCACCTGTCTGTTGTTGTTTTTTCTAGTAATTTAAACCTCACCTTTCTGATGTCTTTTTCCAATGCTGTAGCTATGGGATACAACTTTTCATCTTTAAGAGCATCCAGATCCCCTTTCTCTACATTGCAGATAGGGATAGTGCCAGCTGGGAAGTCCAAGAGATTGAATAGTACTGTGTATGTTAGACAACCTAGATGTGATTGAATAGTAGTACTGTGTACATTAGACAACCTAGATGCGATTGAATAGTAGTAATGTGTACATTAGACAACCTAGATGCGATTGAATAGTAGTAATGTGTACATTAAACAGCCTAGATGTGATTGAATAGTAGCACTGTGTACATTAGACAACCTAGATGCGATTGAATAGTAGTAATGTGTACATTAAACAGCCTAGATGTGATTGAATAGTAGCACTGTGTACATTAGACAACCTAGATGCGATTGAATAGTAGCAATGTGTACATTAAACAGCCTAGATGTGATTGAATAGTAGCACTGTGTACATTAAACAACCTAGACGTGATTGAATAGTAGCACTGTGTACATTAAACAACCTAGATGTGATTGAATAGTAGCACTGTGCACATTAAACAACCTAGATGTGATTGAATAGTAGCACTGTGTACATTAAACAACCTAGATGTGACTTGGTATGTTAAATAACCTAGATGTTTTAAAAGAAAATTCATCAAAATGTTCTGGTGACAAAACTTTAACCATACCCTGTGACCGTAACTGTACAAATCCCTGTTACAGTAACTAATCACTGTGACCGTAACTGTACAAATCCCTGTTACAGTAACTAATCACTGTGACCGTAACTGTACAAATCCCTGTTACAGTAACTAATCACTGTGACTGTAACTGTAACAATCCCTACTGCAGTAACTAATCCCTGTGACAGTAACTGTACCAATAACTACTACAATAACTAATCCCTGTGACAGTAACTGTACCAATCTCTACTACAGTAACTAATCCCTGTAACAGTAACTGTACCAATCCTTATACAGTAACTAATCCCTGTGACAGTAACTGTACCAATAACTACTACAATAACTAATCCCTGTGACAGTAACTGTACCAATCTCTACTACAGTAACTAATCCCTGTAACAGTAACTGTACCAATCCTTATACAGTAACTAATCCCTGTGACAGTAACTGTAACAATCCCTACTACAATAACTAATCCTTGTGACAGTAACTGTACCAATCTCTACTACAGTAACTAATCCCTGTGACAGTAACTGTACCAATCTCTACTACAATAACTAATCCCTGCGACACTAAATAATTCCTGTGACAGTAACTAATATATCTGACAGCCTGAAGTTACAATATTTATCCATATTTGTTCAATCTCACCTGTAAAATGATGTTTAATTGACGAATCTCACCTGTAAAATGATGTTCAATTGATGAATCTCACCTGTAAAATGATGTTCAATTGACGAATCTCACCTGTAAAATGGTGTTCAATTAATGAATCTCACCTGTAAAATGGTGTTCAATTGACGAATCTCACCTGTAAAATGGTGTTCAATTGATGAATCTCACCTGTAAAATGGTGTTCAATTGACGGATCTCACCTGTAAAATGATGTTCAATTGACGAATCTCACCTGTAAAATGGTGTTCAATTGACGAATATCACCTGTAAAATGGTGTTCAATTGACGAATCTCACCTGTAAAATGATGTTCAATTGATGAATCTCACCTGTAAAATGGTGTTCAATTGACGGATCTCACCTGTAAAATGATGTTCAATTGACGAATCTCACCTGTAAAATGGTGTTCCTGTCCCAATTTGAGCGCAGTAAATGGAAGCACTGGACACAGAAGAACGTCTATGTCTTCATTTCTCCATTTTTGGACAAATGTGTACTTTAGCGCCTACATATGTTGTATACATATAAAATCATTTGAGAGCAAATGTATACTTTAGTGCCTACATATATTGTAAACGTATAAAATGGTAGAACAAATGTGTAATTAAGACATATTTTCCTACCTAGTTGTATACATATATTTTGTGGGACACGTGTACTTAAGTGCCTGCATATGTTGCATACATATATATTGTGTTAAAAATGTGTACTTAAGTGCTTACATATGTTATATAAATTGTGGAACACATGTGTACTTAAGTGCTTACATGTTATATAAATTGTGGAACAAATGTGTACTTAATTGCTTACATATGTTATATAAATTGTGGAACAAATGTGTGCTTAAATGCCTGCCCATGTTGTACATTTGTATAAACACATGAGTTTAAGATATAAAGAGAGAACGTTCATGAAATAAATCTGAGTGTAACTGTGGGTAAAGCAGACGATGAAGAGCAAGCACAGCTGGAGTTCATGTCAACAAATGGAGGGGGGAGAATGTGATTTTGATACAAAACAAAATGAAGTGTCTGGAAACTGTACTGTTCTTTAAAGCCAACTGAATGTGTTGGTGGAAGATACAATAGCTGTAATGGAAACATCAGCAGTACCAGCGCTCTGAGATTATTATCAATTCTCAGTTAGTCCTCGGCCTAAAAAAACCAAACAGCCCGTCCTTTTAAATGAACTAAATTCATTTTATTGATCAGGTCAATTTTCATCATTTGTTTGCTGATGGCTGACATGAGTGATGTTAGCTGACATGTCAGTGATATTAGCTGACATGTCAGTGATGTTAGCTGACATGTCAGTGATGTTGGCCACCATGTTTGTGATGTCTTTCACTAAAGTGAGTTCCTTAATTTCTTAACTTAACAACTTGAAAGAATTTTCCCTTTATTATTTTTTAACAACAGATAAATCGGAAATAAATTAAATATTTTATGTATACAGGCACTTGATAATAATCCAATAATAACTCGTATTTTTTTAATGTGACTACATATTAATATTTTTAAATGTGTTTTAAAAATTTGAGACGAACAGCATTTTTTAAAAAATTTGAAATGATATTTTCCTTAGAAACTTTCTATTATTTTAAATTATGCTAAACTTACTCTGATATTTTCCATCAACTTCCACCAGTCAAAGACACTCCTAAACAGAATTATAGGGGAATAAATCTCTGAACCAAATTGTCAGTATATTTTAACATTTAATTACTTCTTGTTATTTTCCACATTGTTTTAACATGAAGTATTTCATCACCCCAAGCTTATCTATGCAGCATTGGAATAAAACATATCAAGTTTGCACGATAATTTTGGGGTGTTCTTTCTACAAGTGCTTGTTGGCAGGCTTAGAGTGGGCATATGGGGTATTCTTTCCACAAGTGCTTGTTAACAAACATAGGGGTAGACGTATGGGGGTGTTCTTTCCTTGGGTGCTGTTCGAAGGCACGGATGTGGACATATGGAGTTCTTTCCACAAGGTTTGGTTCAGAAGCCCAGGAGTGGAAACTTTGTTTTTTTTTTCATAAGTGCGGGTTCACAGGACAGGTTGTCGCACCAGAGCGAGCAGCAAAGGAGCAGGTTTTGTGAGGACATTTTGTTTTTTTAAAAGTCTAAATTGGTTCAATATGGCAGTTTGGTGCTTCCTTTGAAATGAATTTGTTCAAGTAAAGAGAGAGCTTTGATATAAAGTAAAGAGAGAGCTTTGATATAAAGTAAAGAGAGAGCTTTGATATAAAGTAAAGAGAGAGCTTTGATATAAAGTAAAGAGAGAGCTTTGATATAAAGTAAAGAGAGAGAGCTTTGATATAAAGTAAAGAGAGAGAGCTTTGATATAAAGTAAAGAGAGAGAGCTTTGATATAAAGTAAAGAGAGAGCTTTGATATAAAGTAAAGAGAGAGCTTTGATATAGAGTAAAGAGAGAGAGCTTTGATATAAAGTAAAGAGATAGCTTTGATATAAAGTAAAGAGAGAGCTTTGATATAAAGTAAAGAGAGAGCTTTGATATAAAGTAAAGAGAGAGCTTTGATATAAAGTAAAGAGAGAGAGCTTTGATATAAAGTAAAGAGAGAGCTTTGATATAAAGTAAAGAGAGAGCTTTGATATAAAGTAAAGAGAGAGCTTTGATATAAAGTAAAGAGAGAGCTTTGATATAAAGTAAAGAGAGAGCTTTGATATAAAGTAAAGAGATAGCTTTGATATAAAGTAAAGAGAGAGCTTTGATATAAAGTAAAGAGAGAGCTTTGATATAAAGTAAAGAGAGAGCTTTGATATAAAGTAAAGAGAGAGCTTTGATATAAAGTAAAGAGAGAGCTTTGATATAAAGTAAAGAGAGAGCTTTGATATAAAGTAAAGAGAGAGCTTTGATATAAAGTAAAGAGAGAGCTTTGATATAAAGTAAAGAGAGAGCTTTGATATAAAGTAAAGAGAGAGCTTTGATATAAAGTAAAGAGAGAGCTTTGATATAAAGTAAAGAGAGAGCTTTGATATAAAGTAAAGAGAGAGCTTTGATATAAAGTAAAGAGAGAGCTTTGATATAAAGTAAAGAGAGAGCTTTGATATAAAGTAAAGAGAGAGCTTTGATATAAAGTAAAGAGAGAGCTTTGATATAAAGTAAAGAGAGAGCTTTGATATAAAGTAAAGAGAGAGCTTTGATATAAAGTAAAGAGAGAGCTTTGATATAAAGTAAAGAGAGAGCTTTGATATAAAGTAAAGAGAGAGCTTTGATATAAAGTAAAGAGAGAGCTTTGATATAAAGTAAAGAGAGAGCTTTGATATAAAGTAAAGAGAGAGCTTTGATATAAAGTAAAGAGAGAGCTTTGATATAAAGTAAAGAGAGAGCTTTGATATAAAGTAAAGAGAGAGCTTTGATATAAAGTAAAGAGAGAGCTTTGATATAAAGTAAAGAGAGAGCTTTGATATAAAGTAAAGAGAGAGCTTTGATATAAAGTAAAGAGAGAGCTTTGATATAAAGTAAAGAGAGAGCTTTGATATAAAGTAAAGAGAGAGCTTTGATATAAAGTAAAGAGAGAGCTTTGATATAAAGTAAATAGAGAGCTTTGATATAAAGTAAAGAGAGAGCTTTGATATAAAGTAAAGAGAGAGCTTTGATATAAAGTAAAGAGAGAGCTTTGATATAAAGTAAAGAGAGAGATTTGATATAAAGTAAAGAGAGAACTTTGATATAAAGTAAAGAGAGAGCTTTGATATAAAGTAAAGAGAGAGCTTTGATATAAAGTAAAGAGAGAGCATTGATATAAAGTAAAGAGAGAGCTTTGATATAAAGTAAAGAGAGAGCTTTGATATAAAGTAAAGAGAAAAGTTTATCTTTGAATAGTTGCCACTGGCCAGATGAAGACATATCATCGACCAGTTGACAGCTCTGTGGGCTGGAGTTTGTGGATACTTGATCGATGCTATAGCGCATTTATAATCAACTTTCACACTCACTGAGGATACTTGATTGCTGTAATGGCGGCATCCATAGGATTTTTCTGCAATAATTTTTTAAAATATTATTCTTCTAAAAATGGAATCCACACTATTGATACTTACAAGTAATTAATGACAGCCACATTTGTTTTAAAGACTACTTCAGATACCTCCTGCTCGGTGCCAATCGAACCATGGCACTGGTGCCAGTTGAACCATGGTACTGGCCCCAGTCAAACCATGGCACTGGCCCCAGTCAAACCATGGCACTGGCCCAAGTCGAACCATGGCACTGGTGCCAGTCGAACCATGGCACTGGCCCCAGTCAAACCATGGCACTGGCCCCAGTCAAACCATGGCACAGGTGCCAGTCGAACCATGGCACTGGCCCCAGTCAAACCATGACACTGGCGCCAGTCAAACCATGGCACTGGCCCCAGTCAAACCATGGCACTGGCCCCAGTCAAACCATGGCACTGGCGCCAGTCAAACCATGGCACTGGCCCCAGTCAAACCATGGCACTGGCGCCAGTCAAACCATGGCACTGGCCCCAGTCAAACCATGGCACTGGCGCCAGTCAAACCATGGCACTGGCCCCAGTCAAACCATGGCACTGGCGCCAGTCAAACCATGGCACTGGCCCCAGTCAAACCATGGCACTGGCGCCAGTCAAACCATGGCACTGGCCCCAGTCAAACCATGGCACTGGCGCCAGTCAAACCATGGCACTGGCCCCAGTCAAACCATGGCACTGGCGCCAGTCAAACCATGGCACTGGCCCCAGTCAAACCATGGCACTGGCGCCAGTCAAACCATGGCACTGGCCCCAGTCAAACCATGGCACTGGCGCCAGTCAAACCATGGCACTGGCCCCAGTCAAACCATGGCACTGGCGCCAGTCAAACCATGGCACTGGCCCCAGTCAAACCATGGCACTGGCGCCAGTCAAACCATGGCACTGGCCCCAGTCAAACCATGGCACTGGCCCCAGTCAAACCATGGCACTGGCCCCAGTCAAACCATGGCACTGGCCCCAGTCAAACCATGGCACTGGCGCCAGTCAAACCATGGCACTGGCCCCAGTCAAACCATGGCACTGGCGCCAGTCAAACCATGGCACTGGCCCCAGTCAAACCATGGCACTGGCGCCAGTCAAACCATGGCACTGGCCCCAGTCAAACCATGGCACTGGCCCCAGTCAAACCATGGCACTGGCCCCAGTCAAACCATGGCACTGGCCCCAGTCAAACCATGGCACTGGCCCCAGTCAAACCATGGCACTGGTGCCAGTCAAACCATGGCACTGGCCCCAGTCAAACCATGGCACTGGCCCCAGTCAAACCATGGCACTGGCGCCAGTCAAACCATGGCACTGGCCCCAGTCAAACCATGGCACTGGCGCCAGTCAAACCATGGCACTGGCCCCAGTCAAACCATGGCACTGGTGCCAGTCAAACCATGGCACTGGCTCCAGTCAAACCATGGCACTGGCGCCAGTCAAACCATGGCACTGGCCCCAGTCAAACCATGGCACTGGCCCCAGTCAAACCATGGCACTGGCCCCAGTCAAACCATGGCACTGGCCCCAGTCAAACCATGGCACTGGCGCCAGTCAAACCATGGCACTGGCGCCAGCACCTACCTAAAATAATTGAAAAATGTAGGCCCACTTATTCCAAAGCGTTATTATGTATTCATCCTGTTATATACAATCCTGAAATACATCTTCCCAAAAACGTAAATTTAAGAAATGTTTTGATTCAGTTGCAAGAATCAGTTTTAAAAAAGCAAACTTGAAGAGACTTAGAGCATGCAATGGCAGAAACAAAACAAGAAGTTCAACAATTTTATTATTATTGGCTCAGCTTCAGCAAATGGACAGTGGTCCAGTTTATGGTGTCTTGAATGTCTGGCACACTATAACTTATTAACATAAGTTTCTTTTATTGATACAAATAATTGGAAATGTTTGTTTTATAAAAATGTGCACATTCATTTTCAGCACACAGATAATATTCTTAAAAAGAAAAACCATTTTAAACTAGAAAAATTTAACACATTTAAAGTATTTCTCAAGCGCAAAAATCAGTCCATTATGTGCCATGGAACTCACTAAATTAGTGACAATATTGACTTTAAGAATGATCATTTAGATTTTATAACAGCCGGGGCAGGACGCTGGTAAATTCTGTTAGATTGGGGGAACAAATGAATTTTAGGTAGGCTATCTGTGATGAAGAGGGTGGGATGTATCTAATAAGATATTTTTTCGCTTTTACAAATCCACATTGCTTCTAATAGTTCTTCAAGTGAAGGTAGTTTTGTTTGAGTGATAGAACTTGCTCTCTTGATAAGTCTATTTAATCTGTGTTTGATGAGAAACCATGAATTCCCACACCAGCGGGTAATACAAGTTTAGCAGGCTTCCAATTGTTGCACTGGAGAACATGCTAATTATTTGTTTATTAACTCCAAAATTCTGAAATTTTTTAAGAGCATTAACTTTTTTATTTAGAATTAGGACTTGGTTATGCTACGTTACATTTAATATCACTGGTGACACCTAGGTACTTATATGTCTCTTCTTGATCTGTATGGATACACCTAGGTACTTATAGGTTTCTACTTGCTCTATATGGTGACATCTAAGTACTTATATGTCTCTACTTGCTCTATACTGGGATTTTTTATTGTTAGATCTGCAATTTGGTGAGTCCACTACTGTAAATGAGACTGTCATCTAAAGAAACTTTTCGTCATACCTGCGGATAAAACTTGTATCTAAGTTGGGGTATAAAATTTCCCTTCAGATATTTAGCCAAGGAAGGTGGTATCATCAGCAAATTTAATGATTGGACCTGTGTTGCTTAGGCTCTGGATATCATTGGTATATAATGTATACAGGACAGGGGAGAGAATGGAACCTAATGGCTGCTCATATTAAATTAAGAAGTATAAAAATTCTTGTCAGTTTATAATATCTTAGATTTAGTGTATATATATATATATATATATATATGTATATAATTTACAGTTCCAGCACGTGGAAAATATCAGTTATGATGGCTGAAAATGAGAATGATTTTCAGTCATTTAGAAGGGATAAAATCGTCTGCTAGGCAAATATTACACTTTTGTTGTTCTCACCATCCATGTAACTTACAGTTCACCAGTGTTTATCTCAGCATCCATTAACTTACATTACATCAGTATTTATCTCACCATCAATGTGTAGAAGTAAGAAGCCACATATCTGACTGGGTAGTGGACCAGCAAAGAGTAGTAACTGCTGGCAATGCTGGAGTCAACTTTATCTGTGTGTCTGTAAACAAATTAAATTGTTCAGGAAATATTGAGATGGTGACAAACTTAATCTTATTGGAAGGGGGAGGAGGAAGGGTTGAGGGGAGGGAGGGGGAGGAGAGAAGGGATGAGAAGAGGGATGGGAGGGGGAGAGTGAGAGGAGGGGGGAGAGTGAGAGGAGGGGGTAGGGGGGACCCAAAACTTGATTTAAAAAAGGTGGATTTCAATTTTAAACAATTCGTATTAATTTTTTAAATATATTTTGATTTTTCAAAGAATGAGCAGCGCATGCTCCTAAGAATCACATAACGCAGCTTGTGTTAGTGACACCGTGGGGGGAGGGGGGGCACATGACTGCCAACCATGCATCTAATGCTCTTTATTTTTATTAACTGCCTTTTATCAGATGCAATTATATTTTTATAAGTGTTTTTTAAGTTTCTGGTGTGATATAAATAGACTTATTCTTATTCAAAAGCTCTCATAATATCTGAGAACTGTTAAAAAATGAACACACAGGTGCATTTTTTACTAGTTCATAGAACAAACAAAGAGATTAGATGATGACATGTGAGTAGCTTACAAGTGGCAGTGTATGTCAGACATGTTGCCAGTGACTTACAAATGGCAGTGTATGCCAGACATGTTGCCAGTGACTTACAAATGGCAGTGTACATCATACATGTTGTCGGTGACTTACAAGTGGTAGTGTATGTCAGACATGTTGCCAGTGACTTACAAATGGCAGTGTATGCCAGACATGTTGCCAGTGACTTACAAATGGCAGTGTACATCATACATGTTGTCGGTGACTTACAAGTGGTAGTGTATGTCAGACATGTTGCCAGTGACTTACAAATGGCAGTGTATGCCAGACATGTTGCCAGTGACTTACAAATGGCAGTGTACATCATACATGTTGTCGGTGACTTACAAGTGGTAGTGTATGTCAGACATGTTGCCAGTGACTTACAAATGGCAGTGTATGCCAGACATGTTGCCAGTGACTTACAAATGGCAGTGTACATCATACATGTTGTCGGTGACTTACAAGTGGTAGTGTATGTCAGACATGTTGTTGCCCAGTATGGTAGGCAGGAAAAGCTCCGTCAAGACAACTTTCATATCTGGGGGCGGGAACTCAACAACCTGAGGGATACACAGTGACGTGTTTGGAATTAGACATTCTACCACTGCTGAATCAGTTCATTATAAGTCCTCAGTAGCAGCATCGCAAAATTAGTGAAGAGATTTACAGATTTTCGACACTTACCATCTACAGACTTTCTACGCATTACCATTTAAAGATTTGTCTACACATTACCATTGACAGATTTTCTACACATTACCATTGACAGATTTTCTACACATTACCATTTACAGATTTTCTACACACTACCATTTACAGAATTTCTGAATGTTACCATTTACAGATTCTCTACACATTACCATTTACAGATTCTCTACACATTACCATTTACAGATTTTCTACACATTACCATTGACAGATTCTCTACCCATTACCATTTATAGATTCTCTACACACTACCATTTACCCCAATAACACACAAGGAAAATTTCTTATGCTAATTAAAATAACATGCAAAAAAAAAAAAAAAAACAACACAAAAAAGTTAAGTTTTTCAATTCATTGCACTTTCAATTGTTAAATTTCTAGGGCGTTTGAAAACTAGACAAAATAATCAAGCTGGCTGATGGACTGCTCAAGATAATGACCTGCTGACAGCCAGATCAAATCTAAATCAAAGTTTAGCAATATTTTCCAAGTGACTGAACCATCTTGGGAAAGTCAGACTAATTAATATCTGATAATTATTAAGTTAAAATCATTAATATCTGAGCCTCTTGGGAAAGTCAGACTAATATCTGATTATTTATTGAAAATCAGACAAAGTACTTTCTGAGCATTTTGAGGAAATTCAGACTAATTAATATCTGAGGCTCCTGGGGAAAGTCAGACTGATCAATATCTGAGAATCAAAATGTGGCAGTGTATGCCCCGTTAGTCCGTTATTTTGAGACAACCGCTATTAGTACAACCATTTTTGGCGCCCAACGCGCGGTCGCGCGGTGTGACCTCGCCTAGCACTGGATCGGAATGTTGAACTCAGGTATCCCTTTCACCCCACCCGGACGGTCTCTATACGGCCGGCTTCTCCTGCGCATAGGGAGGAAATAATAGACAGCGACGAGGCCATGACAGGCAATTCAGGCTCATACCAGCAAGAAGCCAGTATAGGAGCTGCTCATTCCTGCCCAAGACAATCAGGGACTGGAACCATCTTTCAAAAGGAACAGTTGAGGCAAGACATGTTGCCAGTGACTTACAAATGGCAGTGTATGCCAGACATGTTGCCAGTGACTTACAAATGGCAGTGTACATCATACATGTTGTCGGTGACTTACAAGTGGTAGTGTATGTCAGACATGTTGCCAGTGACTTACAAATGGCAGTGTATGCCAGACATGTTGCCAGTGACTTACAAATGGCAGTGTACATCATACATGTTGTCGGTGACTTACAAGTGGTAGTGTATGTCAGACATGTTGTTGCCCAGTATGGTAGGCAGGAAAAGCTCCGTCAAGACAACTTTCATATCTGGGGGCGGGAACTCAACAACCTGAGGGATACACAGTGACGTGTTTGGAATTAGACATTCTACCACTGCTGAATCAGTTCATTATAAGTCCTCAGTAGCAGCATCGCAAAATTAGTGAAGAGATTTACAGATTTTCGACACTTACCATCTACAGACTTTCTACGCATTACCATTTAAAGATTTGTCTACACATTACCATTGACAGATTTTCTACACATTACCATTGACAGATTTTCTACACATTACCATTTACAGATTTTCTACACACTACCATTTACAGAATTTCTGAATGTTACCATTTACAGATTCTCTACACATTACCATTTACAGATTCTCTACACATTACCATTTACAGATTTTCTACACATTACCATTGACAGATTCTCTACACATTACCATTTATAGATTCTCTACACACTACCATTTACCCCAATAACACACAAGGAAAATTTCTTATGCTAATTAAAATAACATGCAAAAAAAAAAAAAAAAAAAAAAAAAAAAAAATTAAGTTTTTATCTCAAAAATTTTCAAAAATGTAAAAAAATAAAAATATTACTAATATTTTAAATTGTTTGCAATATGTGTGTAGAATTATTTTTAACAAAGCGT